CCCTGCCTCAGGCCCCTCCCCTTTGCTGTATAGAAGAAGCTTTTGAGTCCACGGAGTCCCGCCAAGCAGCAGTTTTTTGATCACTGCGAACAGTGTAGGGAATGAAAGCTACAGTAGAAGATGGATGTGCAGTTTCTCTTGCATTGGCCCAGAGCCTGGAGTATCTACACCCTGGAGTAGTAGAGCTGAGTTGTGTGGTTGGTCTATTGTTTGTGAACTCATTTCTGGATTGACCTGTCAGTTTGCATTCCTACTAGCAGCAATAAGGCCTTCTGTTTCCTCACACCTGCCACTTGTTTTTGTTTTTAAGATTTGTGTGTGTGTGTGTTTGTGTTTTCTCTGCATGTATATTGTATGAACAACATATATGGCTGGTGTCCGTGGAAGAGGCCTGAAGGTGTTAGATCGTCTGGATGTGTAGTTACAGGTGGTCGTGAGCCACCATGTTGGTGCTGGGAATGAAACCCAGGTCCTGTCCTCATTCTTAATTGCTGAGCTGTCTCTCCTGCCCCTGCCAAGTACTTTCCTAGCAATAGCCATTGTGACTCCGGTGACAGAGGTTCAACATATTTATTTGTAATTTGGATTTCCCTGGTGGCTAAGGAAGTTCAACATTGTTATTTTTTTATTTTTTATTTATTTATTTTTAACATTCGTGTTTCTTCTTTTGAGCACTGTCAGCTTAGTTCATTAACTCATTTATTGATTTAATGATTTGGGGTTTGGATTTGTTTGTTTGTTTGTTTTGTTTGAGACAGGGTTTCTCTTTGTAGCTCTGGAGCCTATTCTGGAACTCACTCTGTAGATCAGGCTGGCCTCAAACTCAGAGATCTTCCTGCCTCTGCCTCCTGAGTTTTGGGATTAAAGGCACAGGCCACCACTGTTTTGTTTTGTTTTAATGAAGTTCAAGTTTTTCTCTTCTTTTACTTGTTGCCAGGGGGGCTGCGTGTGGTCAAAGACAGCTATGCCTGTGGTCCAACACAAAACTTTCAACTTCCTCATAACGCCATGAGACTTTTTCATGATTTCTTTTTGTAATTCAATTGCATACTTCGTAAGTGTGAACTATGTAGATGGCAATGTTGTGTTGCTGACCCATGTTTTAAAGACTTTCATTTCCTTTATTATCACATTAGCATTTTTTCAATTGAGATTTTTTTGTGTAGGATAAGCAATTCACCTCTAATATGTGTAAATGTGTCCCTAACATGTGTAAATTATTTTGTCATTGACTATGACAGGTAATCCTTTCTCTCTATTTGTTTGCTTTTCCAGCCTGGGTGCTGCATGTTGGCTCTTCAACAGCTCCACGTGGCAGACCCTCTAAGCCCCACACTTCTTAGGGCACACCCCCAACTTGAAGAAAATTCACAAACGGTTGTTTGGTTGTGGTTTTCATTCGATTGATTTCCTTTTTAATATCCATAAAGTTTAGATGGTTCTTTTCCAGAATTTCAATTTTTTTTCTGCTGAAGTTTTCCTTCACATTTTAAGTTTTCTCCACTGAATTCCAGTTTGCTAACTCCTATTTAGGTTCTGGTTGGTTCCCTTCCTACACCACCTTCTTGCTTGAGTTGTGTTTGTGATTGTAATCACTCTATAGAATAGCTCTGACATCCTTTCATCTGCTTGTGACTTCTGGGATTTTGTTTTTTTTTTTTTTTTTTACATTATCTTTTTAATTTTCTTTTATTATTATTATTTTTTTTTTACCACCTGACTGCAGTTTCCTCTCCCTCCTCTCCTCCCCCCTCTCTGCCTCTTTCACACCCCCTCTCTGTCCCCCACCAATCCACTCCTCCTCCATTTCTGTTCAGGAAAAGGCGGGCCTCCCATGGCTATCGACCAAACCTGGCATATCAGATCGCAGTAAGGATAGGCACTTCCCCTCATAATAAGGCTGGAGTAGACAAGCTGGTATGAGAGATAGGGCATGAGAGATAGGGTCCCAAAAGCTGGCTAAAGAGTCAGAGACAGACCCAGCTCCCACCACAGTTAGCAATCCTACAAGAAGACCAAACTGTAACATATATGCAGAGGGCCCAAGTCAGTCCCATGCCGGCTCCCCGGGTGTCCGTTCAGTCTCTGTGAGCCCCTATGAGCCCAGGTTAGTTGATTCTGTGGGTTTTCTTGTGATGGTCTTGACCCCTCCTGCTCCTACAATCCTTCCTCCCCCTCCTCTGGAGTATTCCTCAAGGTCAGCCTAATGTTTGGCTGTGGGTCTGCATCTGTTTCGTTCTGTTGCTGGATGACGCCTCTTGATGACTATTGGGATGACTGTTGGGCTAGGCTTCAGTATCACAGAATATCATTAGGAATTATTTCATTGAGGTTTTGGTTTTCTTTTGCCAGTTGTGTTTTTCTCTCTCCTAGATCTCCGGGCTACCCCTCCTCTGGGTCCTGGCTCTCCACGCAGTGTCAGGGGTGAGCTCCCTCTGGTGGCAAGGATCTCAAGACTGTCGATGTTGGCCACTCCTACAATTTCTGTGCCACCTGCACCCCAGCACATCTTGTAGGCAGGGCAAATTGTAGGTCGAAAGGTTGGTGGCTGGGTTGATGGAAGTTTTGCCTGGTTACAGAAGATGCCAGTTCAGGCTCTCTATCTCCTATTGCTAGTCTTAGCTAGGGTCATCCTCATAGATCCTGGGGTTTTCTTTGCATTAGGTTTCTACCTTTTCCCCAGAACCCCCCCCAACCCCACCCCCTTGCCACGTTTCCCAGCAAATACTCCCCATCTGATCCCTCCTGCTCTCATTCTACTCCCAGCCCACCCCACCAATCCAGCTGAGATTTGGTTTTGGTTTTTTTTAAGATTGGGTGTCTCTACTACATAGCTCTAGCTGCCTTGGAACTTGCTATGTAGACCAGGCTGCCACCAAACTCACAGAGATCCACCTGCCTCTTCCTCCTGAGTGCTGGCGTTTAAGGAGTTCTCTTCTATCTTTGAACGGATCTGTTCTTTGCTATGGTGACTCTTCTCATCCATTGTGTCGTCCAAAGAAGAAGCTTTGGATTGACCAGCTTTTCTTCTGTGTTTTAAAACTAGAATCCTCTGGGGATGTAAGAGACAGTTTCACTCTTTTCCTAATGACTTTAAAAATCTTTTATGTGCCTGTGTGAGAGTATGTGTGGGAATGGTCAGGCATGTTTCTGCTCATGAGTGTGGAGCCTAGAGGTTAACATCAGGTCCCTTTCTCACCTTGCATTTTGAGACAGTGCCTCTCAGTGAATTTAGAGTTATTGGATTTGTGGCTGTACGACAAGTTCCAGCGGTCAGTCTCCACATCTCTAGTACTGGGACTCTAGCTATTTGTCACTGTGCCCAGCTTTGAAATGGATGCTGGGGATCAAATTCAGGTCCACCCTTTGCACAGCATGCACTTTAGAAATTAAGCTTTCTCCTCAGGCCTCTAAAAGTGTTTTCTTTTTCCCTACAAACAAATGTATTATCTCAGTCTATGTTAAAGAAAGGAAGCATTTTTGTTGCATTTCAAACACATATTTTTTAAATCTATGATTTAAAAGTAATTCATTCAGGTTTTTATACAAGTTTAAATAAACATAAAAATAAGCGAGTTTCATGAGTCTTGTGAACCAATTATCAAAGTTTAATAATATAGAAACATGGCAATCTTATATTATCTATTAAAATTGCTTACTTTTGTGCAATTATTAAATATTGAGTATTTGTTTATGCTGTCTCCTTCCTCAAAGTATTCATGTTTATTTCATTTTGTGATTTTTGTTGTGTCTTATTTCCTTCCCTCCCCACATACCTTTCTCTCTCAGCCAGTATTGAGTGTTTATATCCAATTATCATGATTTTGGATCCAGTAAGTGAAATGTACACTAAACTTTCAAATTCAGATACTTGGAGAGAAGTCGGTGAATAGAGCTAGGTATGAGCTAAGTGGGCATGTAATTTTAGGTATCATTTAGGGAATTTGTATCAAAAGAGGGATCAGATCCCAATATGACCCATGGGACCTTCTGGTATTCTGATATCACCAGTGTGGAGAGAGAGAAGATTCAGGAATGTAGGTTGACAGTGCTGGCCAAACCCTGGATACATTCCTTGATTAAAGAAAGAATCCTGGAACCCATTAGAAGAAAATTTTTAAGAAAAGGATCATTTCATGCCAATGTTAGATTAGATGAAATGAATTTTAATAACTAGTCATTTGATTTAGCGGATTAGGTAATTAAGGATCTAGTTTTCTTTTTCAAGAGGAAATGCCCTGAGGTGCATAGGGATGGCAATGTAGACATCTCACTCAAGCTTCCTGGTGAGAAAGGTAGCAACGTGATGGGGGTGGCCAGAGGGCACTGGGTAAGGAGTGACTTTACAGCCAGACTTAGGGAAGATAGCCAGGCTTTTACCCCAAGCAAGCTTATTTTAGGGCAGTTGAATATGGATTTAACATTACAGAAAAGCAAAAGACATAGGAACTTCTAAGGAAATACAGAGCTCACTAGTCTAGTGGATTTTAAAATGCTTCACAGATTCCTTTTTATCAGTTAATTAGTTATAGTTATGGATTTGTGACTTCCAGGGGGAAAGACCTTATTTAATGTGTCACCAATTCCATTATCAGGAAAAGGCAAGGTTGGGCACAGGAAGGAATGGATTCGCTAATGACTGGTATTACCAAAACCAAGGTAGGAGACAGACACTCATCAGCCTTGCTTATTTTCAAAAGTGTTAAGGGGGTTAGAGAGATGGCTCAGGGGTTAAGAACACTGGCTGCTCTCCCAGAGGTCCTGGGTTCGATTCCCAGAAACCACAGGATGACTCACAACCATCTGTAGTGGAATCTGGTGTCCTTTTTGTCATAAGGCTGTACATGCAGATAGACAACTTACATATATGATAAATAAATACATCTTTTTGAAAAGATGTAAAGAGAAGGATAGATGTCATATAAGCAATAAGAATTAAGTGATGGATTATAGGTGACAAATTGGTATTTCTTAGTAAAGTTATTTAATTGCTTAATTTCTCCTAGAGCATATTAAGAGATAATATAAACTAAACCATTTGGGAATAAACATCACTGTCTTGTGTACGTACTAACTTTGCTTTCCATTTAGATGAGCTATGCTCCTTATAACCCCAGTCTTGGGACCGGAGTCCAGCCCCAGCCTCCTTACCAGTTTCCTGTGAACACCGCAGCTCTGAATCAGGGAATTATTCAACTGCTGCTGTACTTCGATTGGGTCTGGGTTGGCCTTGTGGTCCCAGATGATATGAGGGGAGAAATATTCCTTAGGAACATCACAGAAGAGATGACCAAGCACAGACTTTGTGTTGCATTTGCAGAAAAAGTTCCAGAATTTCCTGCCAAGGACACAACCGACAGGCAACGTTTCCTAGAAAGGTTCACGTTGACAAATGTCATTGTTGTGTTTGGTGACACATATTCTCTTCTGAGGTTTGTCTATAACATCTTTTGCAATTCTCCTCTTGGTAATGTTTGGATCACAACTTCAGATTGGGATATCACCATATTACCCTTTGGACAGAGTCTAAGTTACACATACTTTGGTGGAGGGTTGTCCTTTTCTGATCACATGGATGAACTTCTGGGATTCAAGGATTTTCTCAGAGGTGTTCAACCTGGGAAATACCCTCATGATATCTTTATCCAGGATGTGTGGTCAAATCTATTTGAATGTCCGTATTTGGATGGTTATTGGATCAGAAACCTGAGCCGGTGTGAACAAAATGGCACGTTGGCCTCAAGAGCTCTGCATGTTTGGGATATGAACACCTCACCCCCAAGTTACAAAGTCCATGCTGCTGTGAACGCCATTGCCCAGGCACTGCGTGAGGAGCTGTTGCTCAGAGCAGAAGCAGGATTACTTGATAAACGTGCACCTGGGGCTCCTCCACCGTGGAAGGTAGCAATAGCTAGTGTTGTGTTTTCCTGTCGTAATGGTCCCTGGCTTGTAAGTTCTGTACTTTGATTCATGATCTCATAGTTATTCTCAAATTGGAAAAAAGGATTTTTTATTAAGAAAAATACATGTTTGAAGGATCTTATTTCATTTTAAATTAACATTTTTATCAGAAAACAATGCATGCATGATGTTAGAAGAAATGATTATCATGTCTTTTTATTTATTTATTTTATTATTTTACATGTTGATCCCAATTCCCTCTCCTTCCCTCCCTCACTCACTTTTACCCTCTCTGCCCCCTCACATGCACCCTGAACACCCTCCCCTCCCGTCCCCCCATCCCCATTCCACATTTAGGGCAATGCCATCCAGGTGGGGTCATGTAGATCTGTCAAGTCATTTGAAGTAGGACTTCTCTCCTGTCTCTAGGTTAAGGCAGTATCCCTCCATGGGGGATGTGTTTGCAAGGTCCTTTTGTGCACCGGGAATACATCCTGATTCCACTGTCTGAGGTCCCTTAGACTGCTCAGTCCTTCTATCTGAGACCCATATTCAGGGGGGCCTGAGTCAGTCCCATGCTGGCTTCCCAGCTATCAGTCTGGGGCGGGGGCATGCTAGCTCCTCCTTGTTCAGGTCAGCTGTCTCTGTGTGTTTCTGCAACCTGGTCTTGTCCTCTCCCTCTGCATCTGGATTATAGTTTGACTCAGTGTTTAGGTATGGGTGTTTGCTTCTGTTTCCAACAGGTATTAGATGAGGGCTCCAGGGATAAGTTAGTTGTTGATCTCACTATCCGGGAAGGGTATTTATGGTAGCCTTTCCACGGATGCTCAAATTGTTAGTTGGCGGTACTCTTGTAGGTCTCTAGACCTTTCTTTAGGTTCAATTTTCTCTTCAAACCAATAATGGCTCCCTCTTTTACGTTCTCTCTCTCTCTTCTGTCTTTTATTCCTACCCTGACTCAATCTTGCTAGTCGCATGTGCTTTCCTCTCCTCCCCTTCTCTTGCTCCTACTTCTCTCTCCTTTCACCCCCCCACGTCCCCTGTGCTCTGGGGGACTTGTCCCCTTCCCCCTTCTGTGAGGGACTTTATATGGATCTCTTAGAAGACACCTTGTATCCTAGTTCCTCTGGTGGTGTGAATTATAGGCTGGTGATCCTTTGCTCTAGGTCTAAAATCCATATATGAGAGAGTACATACCATGTTCCTATTTTTGTGACTGGGTTACCTCATTCAGGATGGTTTCTTCAAGTGCCATCCACTTGCCTGAGAATTTCAAGATTCCATTATTTTTTTCTGCAGAGTAGTATTCCATTGTGTAGATGTGCCACATCTTCTTTATCCATTCTTCAGTTGAGGGGCATCTAGGTTGCTTCTAGGTTCTTGCTATTACAAATAATGCTGCTATGAACATAGTTGAGCATATGTCTTTGTTGCATGGATGTGCATCATTTGGGTATATGCCTAAGAGGGGGATTGCCTGGTCCTGTGGTAAACTAATTCCCATTTTCCTGAGGAACCGCCATACTGATCTCTAAAATGGCTGTATGAGTTTGCACTCCCACCAGCAGTGGAGGAGTGTTCCCCTTTCTCCACATCCTCTCCAGCATAAACTGTCATTGGTATTTCTAATTTTAGTCATTCTGGCAAGAGTAAGATGGTATCTCAAAGTTGTTTGATTTGCATTTCCCTGGTAGCTAAGGATGTTGAGCACTTTCTTAAGTGTCTTTCAGCCTTTTTGATTTCCTCTATTGAGAATTCTTTCTTCAGTTTTGTACCCCATTTTTAATAGGGTTATTTGATGTTTTGTTGACAGTTTCTTGAGTTCTTTGTATATTTTTGAGATCAGTCCTTTGTCGGATGTAGGATTGGTGAAAATCTTTTCCCAGTCTGTGGACTGCCTTTTTGTCTTGTCGACTATGTCCTTTGCCTTACAGAAGCTTCTAAGTTTGAAGAGGTCTCATTTATTAATTGTTGTTCTCAGTGTTTGTGTTCCTGGAGTTATGTTCAGGAAGCGGTCTCCTATACCAATTTGTTCAAGGGTACCTCCTACTTTCTCTTCTAAGAGGTTCAGTGTGGCTGGATTGATGTTGAGGTCTTTGATCTATTTGGATTTGAGTTTTGTGCATGGTGATAGACATTGGTCTATCTGCAGTCATCTACACACCATCATCCAATTTGGCCAGCATCATTTGTTGAAGATGCTGTCCTCACCCCATTGTATTCTTTTAGCCTTAAGCTTCTCTCCATTCAGTTTGATGTTGGCAGTTGGTTTGCTGTATATTGCTCTTATTATGTTTAGGTATGTTCCTGTTATCCCTGATCTCGCCAAGACCTTTATCGTGAAAGGTTGTTGAATTTTGTCGAAGGCTTTTTCAGCATCTAGGGAGATGATCATATGGTTTTTCTTTTTCCAGTTTGTTTATATGGTGGATCACGTTGATAGATTTTCGTATGTTAAACCATCCCTGCAATCCAGGGATGAAGCCTACTTGGTCATGGTGGATGATTTCTCTGATGTATTCTTTGATTTGATTTGCCAGCATTTTATTGAGTATTTTTGCATCGATGTTCATCAGGGATATTGGTCTGTAGTTTTCTTTCTTAGTTGTGTCTTTGTGAGGCTTGGGTACCAAGGTGATTGTGGCCTCGTAGAAAGGGTTTGGCAATGAACCTTCTGTTTCTATTGTGTGGAACAATTTGAGGAGTATTGGTATTAGTTCTTCCTTGAATTTCTGGTAGAATTCTGCAATGAAGCCATCTGGCCCTGGGCGTTTTTTGGTTGGAAGACTTTCAATGACTGCTTCTATTTCATTTTCATTGCAGGTTATAGGTCTATTTAATTTGTTTGTCTGTTCTTGATTTAATTTTGGTAAGTGATAGTTATCCAGAAATTTGTCCATGTCCTTTGAATTTTCAATTTTTGTGGAATATGGGTTTTCAAAGCATGACTTGAAAATTGTCTGGATTTCCTCTGTGTCTGTTGCTATGTTCCCCTTTTTGTTTCTGATTTTGTTAATTTGCATGTTCTCTCTCTCTGCTTTGTTGTTAGGTTTGTCTATCTTGTTGTTTTTTTTCAAAAAACCAAATCTTTGTTGCATTGATTGTTTTCCTGGTTTCTATTTTGTTGATTTCAGCCCTCAAATAGATTATTTCCTGGTGTCTACTCCTGCGGGGTTAGTTTGCTTCTTTTTGTTCTAAAGGCTTTCAGTTGTGCTATTAATTATCTTATGTGACTATCCTCTGTTTTCTTCATATGGGCACTTAGTGCAATGAACTTCCCTCATAACACTGCTTTCAAGGTGTTCCATAAGTTCGGGTATGTTGTGTCCTCATTCTCATTGAATTTTAGAAAGTCCTTAATTTCTTTCTTTATTTCTTCTTTGACCCAGGTGTGATGCAATTTCATATTGTTCAGTTTCCATGAGTTTGTAGGTTTTCTGCGATTTGTGTTGTTGAATTCCAATTTTAAAGCATGGTGGTCTGATAAGATACAGGGGACTATTCCAATTCTTTTATATCTGTTGAGGTTTATTATGCCACCTAGTATGTGGTGGATTTTAGAGAAGGTTCCATGTGAAGCAGAGAAGGAGGTATATTCTTTTGTATTTGGATGGAATGTTCTATAGATGTCTGTTAAACCCAGTTGAGACATAACTTCTGTTAGTTCTTTTGTTTCTTTGTTGAGTTTCTCATTGGTGGTCCTGTCTAGTGGTAAGAGTGGTGTGTTGAAGTCTCCCACTATAAATGTGTGCGGTTTTATGTGAGGTTTGAGTTTTAGTAGCATTTCTTTTACAAATGTGGGTGCCTTTGTATTTGGAGCATAGACGTTCAGAATTGAGACTTTGTGTTGTTGGATTTCTCCTTTGATGAATATGAAATGGCAGTCTTCATCTCTTTGGATTAATTTTGGTTTGAAGTCTAACTTGTTAGATATTAGGATAGCCACACCTGCTTGCTTCTTGGTTTCATTTGATTGGAAGATCTTTTCCCAACCCTTTACCCTGAGGTAATATCTATCTTTGAAGCTTAGATGTGTTTCTTGTATGCAGCAGAAGGATGGATTCTGTCTTTGTATCCATTCTGTTAGCCTGTGTCTTTTTATAGGTGAGTTAAGACCATTAATGTTGAGGGTGAGTAAGGATCATTGATTTTTGATGCTTGTTTGTTTTAGATTTGCTGTTGGCAGTGGTATTGTGAATATATTTGTCCTGCTTTACCCTTGGTTTCTGGTGTAGTGAGATTATCTGTTGCCTACATCTTTGTGGGCGTAGTTAATTTCCTTGGGTTGGAGTTTTCCTTCCAAAACTTTCTGTAGGGCTGGATTTGTAGATACATATTGGGAAAATCTGGTTTTGCCATTAAATATTTTTTTTCTCCATCTATAGTGATTGAGAGTTTTGCTGGGTATAGTAGCCTGGGCTGGCATCTGTGGTCTCTTAGTACTTGTAGAACATCTATCCAGGGTTTCCATGGAGAAATCAGGTGTAATTTTGATAGGTCTGCCTTATATGTTACCTGTCCTTTTTCCTTTGCTGCTCTTAATATTCTTTCTTTATTCTGTATGCTAGGTGTTTTGATTATTATATGTCGAGGGGTCTTTTTTTCTTTGGTCCAGCTTATTTGGTGTTCAGTATGCTTCTTGTACTTTCATGGGCATGTTCTTCTTCAGATTGGGAAAGTTTTCCTCAATAATTTTGTTGAATATGTCTTCAGCACCTTTGAGCTGGGCTTCCTCACCTTCCTCTATGTCTATTATTCTTAGGTTTGGCCTTTTCACAGTGTCCCACATTTCCTCGATGTTTTGTGTTAAGGATTTGTTCTATTTACGATTTTCTTTGGTCGATGAATCTATTGCCTCTTGTTTATCTTCCACGCCTGAGATTCTCTCTTCCACCTCTTGAATTCTGTTGGCTATGCTTGAATCTGTAGTTCCCAATTGTTTGCCCAGTTTTTCTATTTCCAGCATTCCTTTGGTTTGTGTTGCCTTTATTTCAGTTTTCAAGTCTTGAACTGTTTACTTCACCTGCTTAATTGTTTTTTCTTGGCTTCCTGTACTTTCTTTACTTTCCTTAAGAAATTTGTTCATTTCTTCCACTTTTTTTGTTTGTTTTTTATT